ACTTTTTACTATACCTTTGCAAGAACAGGATAGAGAAAAAGTTTACCTTGACAGTGCCTACATATAATTCCAAGCCTGTTAAAAGATACCAATGGAAAGTCATTCCACGAGGAATGTTAAATAGTCCTACTTTGTGTCAATATTTTGTACAATAGCCATTGTAAATAATTTGTAATCAGTCTCCTCAATCTATAATTTATCCTATGAATGATACCTTCCTAGCTGATTCAGATACCTTAGAGAAAATGCAGAAGTAAAGAAAGTTTTATTTTGTTGGAGATTACAAATTGTTCCTGAAAAAATACAAAGAGGAAATTCTATTAATTGCATAGGATTTAAGAAAGGTCTACAAAAAATTCAACTACAGAAAGTACAAATCAGAAGAGATCAATTACAGACTCTTAATTATTTTCAAAAGTTGCTGTGAAATATCAACTGGCTACAGCCCACAATTGGATTGACAAGTCAAGAATTAAGTAATTTATTTCAAACCTTACAAGGTGATAAGGACTTAAATAGTTCAAGAAAATTATCAGCTGAGGCTGAGAAAGGATTGGCTTTAGTGGAAAAGAAATTACAGGATGTACATGTGTATTGTTTGGATCCAGAGCTTGACTATATTCTGGTTATTTTACCTTCTACTCAGTCTCCTACAGGAATTCTGATGCAGAGAGAAGATCATATATTAGAATCAATCTGTTTTTACTACACAAACAGAATACAACAAAATTAAAGACCTCTGTTAAAAAGGTTTCTGTACTGATTCTGAAAGGAATATTAAGACTTAATCAGTTGGCAAAAATGGAACCAGCAGTAATTGTGGTACCTTTTTCTAATGCTGAAATTGCCTCATGATAGACATAAAATGAGCACTGGCAAAGACCTTGCAGTAAGATTTTTGGGAGAGATTAAAAAAGCAAGAGACTTCAATTTATAAAGAGAACTAATTGGGTTCTTCCTTACATGGTTCGGAGAACACCAATTTATGGAGCCCCAACATTCTATATTGATGCAAAAATTGAGGGAAGGTCAACCCGATGGGACAGACTTAGTAGACATCCTAGGGGAGGCCTTAGCCTCTCTGTGGAGTAGATAGAAGAATAGGGGGAGCAGGGGCAGAGCAGGGGAGGAGGAACTGGGATTGTAATGTAAAAAATAAATTAATAAAACAATTAAATGATTAAATAAATGTATATATAATCAAAAAATGAGGGAAGATAGGTAATCAGGGAATTTGAGTGAAATGGCTCAAAGCTTTTATGATTCTTTTTAAAAGTCATAATTATCTTTTATTCCTGTGGTATTATTAGATTTTCCAGAACTGTTTAATATAGTTATTTACTCTCCATGTGTAGAAAGAGTTGTTTTACATATTGAAACTGCTGAATTTATTTCAGATTATTCAGAATTAACTTTGTTATTTATTCAATTACAAGAAATAACTAGAAATAGAAATCATCCCCTGTATGTAACACATATCAAATCCCATGCAGGTGTACCAGGCCCTCTAGCAAAAGGTAATATTGAAATTGAGCAACTACTGACAGCAAATATGTAGAGGCCTAAAAACTTCATAAGAGACACCATGTTAATAGCAAGGGTTTGATAAAAGATTTTTCCATCTCTTGGCAACAAGCCAAAGAATAGAAGGAAATGTCCTATTTGTTCTTTGTATAATCGAACTCCACAGTCTGCAGGAAGTAACCCAAAGGGTACTCAAAGAAATGAAATTTGGTAAACGAATGTATCATCATGCAGAGTTTGAAATTAAAAATATGTCACCATACCATAGATACGTATTCAGGATTTCGAAGGACAACTGCTTTGAATTCTGAAATGGCTGATTATGTAATTATACAAGTATTAAAAGTCATGGCCATCATGGGTAAACCTGTACAAATTAATACTGACAATGTTCCAGCATATGTTTCCAGTAAAATGAAAGTTTTCTTTTCATATTACAACTTAAAGCATATTACAGGTATACCAAACTGCCCTACAGGACAAGCAGTTATAGAAAGATGCAATTGTACTCTTAAAGATATACTTAATAATCAGAAACTGGTAATAAAGACCCCCTGAGATAGATTGCATGATGCTTTATTAACTTTATAATTTTTGAATGCTAATGAGAAAGGAATAACAGCTACAGAGAGACATTGGATAATAGAAAAAAACTGAATTAAATCAGCCTGTATAGTTTGAAGATATGTTGACCTCAGAATGGAATCCAGCATATGTGTTACATTGGGGAAGAGGTTTTGCTTATGTTTCCATAGAATAAAGACTATGGATATCATCAAAATTGATAAGGATTAGATTCAACAGAAGAGACATCTTGATTAGCAGATATAAAAGTTCATCAAATAGCATGACCATTCAATCTAAATTAACTTATAAGTCTAATGAATGCTTTTCAATTGATCAGATATAATTTGCCAAAAATGAACCTCCCCAAGTTAGGGTTGAGTCATGGTTTTGTTTTTGTATTTCGAGCAGAATGAAGGCATCCAACTATGGAATCTGAAGACCACTACACAAATGTAGCTTCTGAAGTAAAAGGAGGAATCATCCAAAGAAAATATCCCAAGAAAAAGAGTAAATTGGCCTGTTGTTATAGCACATTTCCAACAGGACAAGATTTCGTAAGTCTTCCCAAATGTTTGGTTTTTGTTGTTCTTTATAGACACATAAGGCAAATGGTCTTTTTGTAGTCACAATGCAATTAGAAATTAAAACTGATTTTGGAGTTGGAATGTGACTGTCTCCTTCTCTAAACCCAAGCATACTTGTTAAATGAAAATCCAAAATCTCTGGCTCATGCCTGAAGTGCCACCTAATATGAGACAGAAGAAAAACCAAGATTGGGGACTGTTCTATTGCTACTAATCTCATAATTCTTTGGTTTTATTTTGACTCTTTAAAACTTTTCTTAAGGTATAAATATTATCTCAAAATTTGTTATCATTAAGGAGGGTTGGTTACAAGTTGTTATTGGGAAAAAAGTTGAACGAAGAAGAATTGATCAAGGATCTTGTACTGAAAAAAAGGGAGATATAGAAATGATAGGATAGAAAGGTAAATTATTGAATCTACTTTTAAACCAAAAAGCAATTACTAGTATTAAATATTTTACATTGTATGGATATTTGTATGTTAATACAAATTTGAGGGTTTGATTTTGTAATACTGTATATGTTTCTATTCTTGTTTAAGATATTTTTATATTGATACAAATTCAAGGTTATTTTTTGCTAGAACATACTGTACATTATATTTTTACTCGTTTAAGGTATTATACCCATATAGCTTATTTAAAAATGCAATGTAAATTTCTAGCCCTTGAAATTTATTACTACAAACTAGCATAATAAAAAAAATGCAGGTTAGTAGTTAGTCACCTATTACCATCAAACTTTAAGTCAAGTCAGGTATGTTTTCAAGGTCAAACAGATGTATTTTATATAGACAGTGGTCTTCAAACACTTCAGAGATCTAATGAATATGGAGATTTAAGATGTTTTAAAATATAAGGTGTTTTATGACAATGAGACTTGTCAGCTTCTGGCAGCACCAATCTACTCCAGAGAAGATGAAAGGCATCAAAGAAACTCCATATGGAGTTTGTCTTCTTTGTGGTGAAAGATGGCCACTGGACAATAAAGTGCCCTTGCCTCAACTTCTGACAGTGTGCTATTCAGGTTGATTAAGCTGTACACAAAAGAAAGCAACTGCTGAACTTTGCCAAAAGAAGATGGGACAGTCTTTCCAACTTTCTGCTTTACAGAAAGTTTTGTCAGTTTTTGTTAAGCCTGTAGGCTGAAGGTGGATGCCCCAATGTTGCAGAGGAACCTTGGGTGACTGTCCAATTAGCCAGCTCTTTCTGTCATTTCTTAGTTTTGGAGGTTGTTTGCTCTGCACTTCCTGTTTACTCAGGTCTCTGATGGAGTTGAAGACTAGATAGTTATAGTTTTCCTTGTTACTAAGTTCACAAAAGCTCCCAAAAGAGGTGTAAGGCATAAAAGATTTAGAGACATAAAAAGATAGTTTTGGGATGGTGATACAAATTAGAATACACTTTGGACATAAGGATAGATAGGATAGATGATGGAATATTTTCTCGGAATTTGCCAAATGCAAATTGTAATTCTTACTTGTATATATTTGTATATAGTTATTGCACTTACTGTTTTACAATGTCAGAGGGAAAAAAAACCTTCTCTTTTTATTTAGACAAAAGGGGGAAAAGTTGTGTGATATTTTTATTGACCATAGTGTATGTTTTGAATCAAAAGGCAGAGTGAGCAACTAGCTAGCCACTAGAGGTTCTGGAGAACTGAGGAAATAGTAAGGCAGGGCTTAGAGAGGATCTCAGTCCTTTTGGAGGAAGAAATGGAAGAGGTAGGAGGTCACTGGGGGGCTTCTCTGCAGCTTCTATGTCATTCATGTTCTTATCTTGATATCTGACTTCTGATGTCAAAGAATAACAAAGTGTTTAAAAAATATATCCTAAACATGTTGGACACAGTGATATTCCATTAAGGTTATGTTTTATAATTTTGGTATTCAGAAGATTAACACTTACGATATTACTGATATAGTGAGTTTAGCTATGCCACCATTTTGATTCCTTTGCCACTAAAATTATTATTTTTGTTTCCCTTAACCTCCTGTTAGTTATTTAAATACATTTCTATAGAATGTCTAATTTGACCATTTTGGTGTGATTTAAAGATACCTATTATTCTTATATGAGTTTTCACAAAGAACCAATTGCTAGAGTCTTGCTACATGGCAAGTACTTGCTTTTAGTAACAATTTAAACCAACTTCTACAGGAAGTATTGTTTAGTTCTAATGTCACCATTTGATATCTTCTTTATATGTACATTGGTGCACATTCATTTTTAATGTTCTAACTTCTGTCAAATTGTTTCATGTAGGTTAGAATGCAAGGCAGTACCTCTAGTTAGCTAGAGAGAACTGTAAATACAGACTTACTTTTATTGAAGAATGTGCTAATCATAAAGGCAAAGCATATGGATGCGATGGCATAACATATAAGAAAGACAAAGATGAAACTAAAGTCACTGTATCGCAAGATTGGCTCCGCTGCAATCTACAATAAAACAATCATGATATCAAATAAGGTACACCATAACTAGTGTCCTGTAAACACAAGGAAAGAGACAAAAGTATGGTTCATAATGAAACAGATCACCCCATTCAGCTGGTGAGACTCAAAAGACAGGCAGTTAAAGTCTGGTTGAGAGACAAAGCAGCATCTAAGTTTATTTTTTAAAAGACATTTTAAAATTTAAATAAAAACAACAATATTGCCAAAAATAGATTATGTATTTCCTAAAAAACTTAATGTCAGAATTAGGATTTAAAGAGATACAAAACACACTAGATTTTAAAAACAATAAAAATAAGAATAAAACATATTCTAAAAATGGTTACAAGGTACAATTATATTTTGAAAATAGTTGAGTTAAATATATAAAAAGAATTTTGCCTGTTTCTCCTTATGTTTAAATTTTAGTAGGTAGTTTTAATATATATGTGATTAATTTTATCTGTTGTACAGCATAAAACTGGATACTTACCTGGATAAAGAGTAATGCACATATCAAAAGGATAATGATGGCATATAAAGGGAAGAACGTGAAGAAATAGCCAGCCCAAATGATCCAATTTCTAAGCCCAATTATGAGCTGGTATTCCTGTAGGACCGTCAACATAAACCAAGTATTTTATATGTCTGGCAATTCATGGTGCTTTCACATAACATTTTAAAAAATTTTTAATACAAAGGTTATAAAATGGTTAATATTATCATTGTTTTAAGAATGAGTAAAAAACAAGGCTTTGAAGTCTATCATAATTATGCAGTAAGGCCTGCATTTATCTTAAAATACGTATTTTTTCTGAGTTTGGAGATTGTTATCAATTCTACATTTGAGATTTACAAAAAAAATCAAATTATTTTAAGAACTATTTTGAATAACCCAAGTCATTTCTTCCTTTCACCCCCATTCCTCTTGTAAGGAAAAATGGTGTGTGTGTGTGTGTGTGTGTGTGTGTGTGTGTGTGTGTGTGTATGTGTGCTTTGAATAAAGTTATGCTACTTGTACTGATGATGTTCCCAACATCTGTAGACTATCTAACATAAAGTCCCCAAGAGCACTAAGAAAAGGCATGGGAAACATCATATTGAACAGGTTCCCTCCATCTATTGTGGGATCTGAAGACTGAACTCAAATCATCAAGCTTGTACATTAATGAACCATCTCACTGGCCTTCAAATTAAATCATCAAGCACTAAGATAAAGAGCCCCTATTAAAGCTTTACTTCCAGGATATTAAGAGAAAGGCATCTCTGTATCTTTTTCCCCTACTGTTATTTGCTTTCAAGATTTTCCCCCATACTTTTAGGCTTTAACAATTTGACTATAATGAGCCTGTGTGTGTGTGTGTGTGTCTGTGTGTACATACATATGCATTTTTTTTTACAGAAACTATCAGAAAGTAAGTGATACTACCTTTAATCTTTTTTCCTTTTCAAACACAATGGATCGCATAATGGAAAGTACAATGGAAGAGAACGTAAGTATGAACATCAAAGGGATGAAAGGACTGGAGATCCAAAGTAATTTATCCTGAGGATGAGCTGGGTATGGAAATCTCTGTATGAGAACGTTGATTTCATCAAATAGCTTTTGCCCAGCACTGCTTTCATGATACAACATAATGCTCACATCCAAGGCATGCTGCACTGCCAGGAATCCTTCCCTTATATACCCTGTGTGAAAAAACTCATGGTCAAATAAAACAGACTAAGGAGCAACCCAGGCATATAAAAAAAGAAATGCAAATAAACTTTAGCTTACAACCTTCAGAACCTACCATAAATTTGACAAAAGAGACATTTCTTTGGCTGAATAGAATTTGTATTTTCCAAAAATTAAAATATTAACATTACTAAAACTATCAAGCTGCAGTCCCCAGCACCAGCCAGCAGGTGAGAGACTTGCCTCTGAACTGCACCACTACCACTGCCACTCCAGTAGGGTCCTATTCCCCCAAGCTCCACTCTGCCACCCAACCCCACCCACCTGGTCATCCTCCCAGTGGCCAGACCTCAACTCCAGCAGACTCCATAGGCACAGGCACAACCCACACCAGTTGGAAGAACAGGCGAGCAACTGGCCTCCCAGCTGAACTGCTCCAACTTCTAGACCCTAAACAGCAGGACATATCCCATGTTCCTCTTCTCATATTTCAGCACCAGCAAGGCAGCTGGCCCATGCCCGCAAATGTGGGGTAACTTCACTGGTATGGTGCAGTCCCCAGCAGCTGGCCAATATGTGAGAGACTTCCAGGCTTCACCACCACCACTGCTACCCACTGGATTCTATTCTGCCAAGACCCACTCAATCCCACCTACCAGATCATCCCCTCCATGGCCATCCCTCCCCTGAAACCCCAGCAGACTACAAAGATGCAGGCACAAATCATATCAGCTGGAAAAACAGACTCCATAGTCACAGATACATTCCACACCATTTCAGAAAAACAGAAGGATAACACTTTATCTAGGCACCCAAACCCCCATAAACTTCACCTGAGGCAACATTATTGGACTGGAAAGCCTGCGAATCACCAGAACCCTTGGCCGTTAAGGACAAAAGACAATAAATTGATAATAAAGGAATAAAGCACCCATCCAACAAAGACAACACAAGAATTCACACTGACACCTATAATCATCCCAAACCCAAATGTGTAAATGCCAGTGTAAGAATATGTTCAACTGGCTCCAGTCCCCATCGAGAGTACCCTTGGAGCTCTGATACACTCCCACCCATCCCCACCGCCAGCCTACCCCCCCTACTCCACCCACGGTCCTGCCGCTCTGGTTGAGCACTGGGACAGAGGGTGGAACCAACAGTTCACCCTACTTCGGAGACTTCTCGGAGCAACTCTGAACAAAGGAGACCTGACTATCCACGCGGGACCACCTGTAATTTCCACCGGCTTGGTCTCTGACCCTGCCTCCAGTCCTCTGCTGGAGTCCCGGGCCCCTCCCAGAGATCCGCCTATCTCTGCAGGTCCACTCAAATCCTGGCTTCTGCCAAAGAACAAGGTCTCAGCTGGAGAGTGCCAGTTTCCAGTGAGATCCGACTACCCTGCAAAACCTTCTCAAGTTCCAGCTCAGCCACAGCTATTGGCCAGAGCTATTGACCAGAGGTCCACTGTGAATACCTGCTGGCATCTTCTTCTGGATCCTCATCCTTGACCCCATCCCTGGATCCCTGTCTGCGGAGAAACTTCCTAGAGAGCTTGGACCACACAGAGCTACGGATATTGAATCTCAGACCCACATAAGCCCATTGGGGAAGTACCATAGTGAGAGGGGGGAGACACCACCAACACCTACTGGAAGAAGCTATGGGAAGAAGGCAATACAAGAGAACACCTAACAACAGAAAGACAAACATGACACCACCAGAATCTAGGGAATCTACACCAACTAGAATGGAACACAACAACAAAGCAGAGGAAGCAGAAGGGTATGACTTAAAAATTACCATCATAAAAATGATAGAGGCCCTCAAAGAAATTGTGAGAAAATCCCTTAAAGAAATGGAGGAAAAAACAAACAAAAAAGTGGAAGAAATGAACAAATTCCTTAAGGAAAGTACAGAAAGCCAAGAAAAAACAATTAACCAGGTGAAGGAAACGGTTCAAGACCTGAAAACTGAAATTGAGAAAATAAAGGCAACACAAATGGAAGGAAGCCTGGAAATTGAAAAGCTGGGCAAAAAATCGGAAACCATGGACAAAAGCATAACCAATAGAATTCAAGAGATGGAAGAGAGAATCTCAGGCGCAGAAGATAAAATAGAAGAAATAGATTCATCGACCAAAGAAAATCATAAATCCAACAAATCCTTAACACAAAACATTCAGGAAATGTGGGACACCGTGAAAAGGCCAAACCTAAGAATAATAGGCATAGACAAAGGTGAGGAAGCCCAGCTCAAAGGTGCCAAAAACATATTCAACAAAATCATCGAGGAAAACTTTCCAAATCTGAAGAAGGACATGCCCATGAAAGTACAAGAAGCATACCGAACCCCAAATAGGCTGGACCAAAGAAAAAAGACCCCGCGACATATAATAATCAAAACACCTAGCATACAGAATAAAGAAAGAATATTAAGAGCAGCGAAGGAAAAAGGACAGGTAACATATAAAGGCAGACCTATCAAAATTATACCTGACTTCTCCATGGAAACCCTCAAGGCCAGAAGGTCCTAGATAGATGTTCTAAAAGTATTAAGAAAACACGGATGCCAGCCTAGGCTACTATATCCAGCAAAACTCTCAATCAATATAGACGGAGAGAACAAGATATTTAATGACAAAACCAGATTTTCCCAATATGTATCTACAAATCCAGCCCTACAGAAAGTATTAGAAGGAAAGCTCCAACCCAAGGAAGGTAACTACGCCCACAAAAATGTAGGCAACAGATAATCCAACTACACCAGAAACCAAGGGTGAAGCAGAACTAATATATTCACAATACCACCGTCAACAACAAACCTAAATCAAACAAGCATCAACAATCAATGGTCCTTACTCACCCTCAACATTAATGGTCTTAACTCACCTATAAAAACACACAGGCTAACAGAATGGATACGAAGACAGAATCCATCCTTCTACTGCATACAAGAAACACAGCTTCAAAGATAGACATTACCTCAGGGTAAAGAGTTGGGAAAAGATTTTCCAATCAAATGGAAATAAGAAGCAAGCAGGTGTAGCTATCCTAATATCTTACAAGTTAGACTTCAAACCAAAACTAGTCAAAAGAGATGAAGACGGTCATTTCATATTCATATCAGGAGAAATCCATCAACACAAAGTCTCAGTTCTGAACATCTATGCCCCTAATACAAAGTCACCCACATTCGTAAAAGAAACACTACTAAAACTCAAAGCTCATATAAAACCTCACAAACTTATAGTGGGAGACTTCAATACACCACTCTCAACACTAGACAGGACCACAAATCAGAAACTCAACAAAGAAACAAAAGAATTAACAGAAGTTATGTCTCAACTGGGGTTAACAGACATCTATAGAACATTCCATCCAAAGACAAAAGAATATACTTTCTTCTCTGCTCCACATGGAACCTTCTCTAAAATCAACCACATACTAGGTGACATAACAAACCTCAACAGATACAAGAGAATAGGAATAGTCCCCTGTATCTTATCGGACCACTATGCTTTAAAATTGGAATTCAACAACAACACAAATAGCAGAAAACCTGCAAACTCATGGGAACTGAACAATGTGCAATTGCACCACTCCTGGGTCAAAGAAGAAATAAAGAAAGAAATTAAAGACTTTCTAATATTCAACGAGAATGAGGATACAACATACCTGAACTTATGGGACACCTTGAGGGAAGTTCATTGCACTAAGTGCCCATATGAAGAAAACAGAGGATAGTCACATAAAAGAATTAACAGCCCAACTGAAAACCTTAGAACAGAGAGAAGCGAATTCACCCTGCAGGAGTAGACGCCAGGAAATAATCAACTTGAGGGCTGAAATCAACAAAATAGAAACCAGGAAAACAATACAAAAAATCAATGCAACAAAGAGTTGGTTTTTTGAGAAAATCAACAAGATAGACAAACCTTTATCCAAATTAACGAAAAAGCAGAGACAGAACATGCAAATTAACAAAATCAGAAATGAAATGGGGAACATAACAACAGACACAGAGGAAATCCAGACAATTTTCAGGTCATACTTTGAAAACCTGTATTCCACAAAAATTGAAAATTCAAAGGAAATGGACAAGTTTCTGGATAACTATCACTTACCAAAATTAAATCAAGAACAGACAAACAACTTAAATAGACCTATAACTCGCAATGAAATAGAAGCAGTCATCGAAAGCCTTCCAACCAAAAAAAGTCCAGGGCCAGATGGATTCAGTGCAGAATTCTACCAGACATTCAAGGAAGAATTAATACCACTACTCCTCAAACTGTTCCACAAGATAGAAACAGAAGGTTCATTGCCAAACTCTTTTTATGAGGCCACAATAACTTTGGTACCCAAACCTCACAAAGACACAAATAAGAAAGAAAACTACAGACCAATATCCCTGATGAACATCGATGCAAAATACTCAATAAAATAATGGCAAACCGAATTCAAGAATACATCAGAGAAATCATCCACCATGACCAAGTAGGCTTCATACCTGGAATGCAGGGATGGTTTAACATACGAAAATCTATCAACGTGATCCACCATATAAACAAACAGAAAAAGAAAAACCATATGATTATCTCCCTAGATGTGGAAAAAGCCTTCGACAAAATTCAACACCCTTTCATGATAAAGGTCTTGGAGAGGACAGGGATAACAGGAACATACCTAAACATAATAAGGGCAATATACAGCAAACCAACTGCCAACATCAAACTGAATGGAGAGAAACTTAAGCCAATTCCTCTAAAATCAGGAACAAGACAAGGCTGTCCTCTCTTTCCATTATCTCTTCAATATCGTACTAGAAGTTCTAGCTAATGCTATAAGACAACAAAAGGAGATCAAGGGGATCCAAATTGGAAAGGAAGAAGTCAAACTGTCTCTATTTGCAGATGATATGATAGTTTACATAAGCAACCCAATAAACTCTACCAGGGAACTCCTACAGCTGATAAACACCTTCAGCAAACTAGCAGGATACAAGGTAATCT